AAGCAAGAGAAATGTTGATTAGTTTGAATATTAATTTTTGCTGCAATATCTGGTCCGATGTTTACAAAATAGTCATTTAGTTTTTTTTAGCAATAGTATAGGAGTCTGTAATTTTTGATCCATCATGTAGGAAGTATGACGGGGAACTTTATGTTTGTTGTTACGACCAAGAACACTATTAATTATTTGCCAGGTTTTAAACATATTATTCTTGTATGAATTGAATTTATTATTATAATATTTTTTACAAGAAGTTTTTAATATTTTGGTTAACCTGTTTCTATAAGTTATATACTTATCTTTGTCAGATTCCCTTTTTGATTTAATATATCTTTTGTATAACTTGTTTCTTGTGTCTATAGATTTTATTATGCTATTAGTTATCCAAGGTTTTTTTTTCCATTCGAATATTTCTTTTCTTTCTAACTTTTTTAATGTGGGTGTCATATATTTTTAGAAACTTATTTGCAAATAAATTGTAAGCATCATTAGGATTATCGTTGTTTTAAACATCGGACCAGACAGTACAAGGAAGATTATTACTTAGAGAGGAAATTGTATAATCATTTATTTTCCTAGACATAGAGTATTTTATATTATTATTAGATAGAGAATGAGATAAATTATTATAATGAACAATAGAATAGATAGGAAAGTGATCAGATATGTCAGAGTAAAGAATGCCAGGAGAGATTTTAGTTTGCATGTTGTTAGTAAATATATTATCGATAAGGGTGGAAGTTTTAGTTGTAATTCGAGTAGGTCTATGGATTAGGGGATATAAATTATAATTAAACGTATTACCAAGAAACTCAGAGGATTGCTTATGTGTACTATACTTAAGTAAGTCAATGTTAAAGTCTCCGGCAATATAGGTTATTTTATTTTCATTATTTATTACATCTAGAAGAAATGATATATCAGAATTAAAAGTAAGCAATGATAAGTCCGGTACTCTATAGACTGTTCCTAAAATAATATTCTTAGGTTCAGCCTTTATTTACAATAAAAATAGATTCAGCAGTTGTAGAGATTAAATTAGAAAGATCATTACGAACTGTGTATTGTAAATTCTGGTCCAGATATATGGCAACACCATCTCCCCTTCTATTGGTTCTAGAAGAATGCAAGAGTGAATAACCTGGTATGTCGTAAAAAGAAAAAACAGTTTTATTATTGTTAAAAAGGTTTCAGAGAAACATAAAGCAGAGAAACTATGATCCAGCGTACTTAGGAAATCTGTTATTTCATTATAATGATTAACAAAACTTCGAGAATTCATATGAAAAATACTAATAGAAATCTTGTTAAATTTAGAATTAAAAGTATCTATAAGATCAAAATTACATTCATCATTATTTTCGGGATACATAGGATTAGGGTTAACTGCATTATTTATTGAAACATCGAAAGGGTCTAAAATTAAAGATTGTAAATGTTCAAAATTAACTTTATGATTGCAAAAGTAATATTTAAGTTCATGAATAAATTCATTGTCATCTAATATATTGCTGAATGGAAATAAAATAGCTGTACAGTTATAGCAAATCCAATTACGATCATTATTACAGCACTGCATGTGGACAGTATTAGAACAATTTATACAAGTTATTGCAAATTCATTTGTGGGTTTGGAACACAAAAAACAATCCATTTAATATTTTTGAGTAAATAAATTACCAGATTACCAGAGATAAAAAAAAATGCAATGAATAGTATAGAAACAATAATGGGTAATTTCAAAAATAAATTTAATAGTAATGGCGAAAACATTGGAACGGTATCGTCTGCAAGTTGGTTTGGTTTACATTGCTTAAAGTATTTACATAAGTGAGTGTCATTAACCAGTTCAAGCTTTCAGCTCCTGTTGGTATCGAGACATATCCAGCTGTGTGCAGATAACAATTTTCTTCAAGGCGTTTGTGAGTACATATATTTTTCCATCTTGCGTCCAGGTGGCTTTGATAGAGTTTGCATATTTAGTCTTCACGTCACGCAGTAGCTTCGATCGTTTTAGGGTCAGATTTTCATGCAAAAAATATTGTGTGTCTTTGAAACGTTTCTTTACCTTAAAAACCTCGCTTCTCTTGTTATAATTTGTGAATTTAATGATTGTACTCCTAGGTTTAGCTTCGTCAGTGCCCCTTTTGTGGCCTAGTCTATGCGACCTATCAATGTCGGCACTGTCAATGCAGACATTAAGCTTCTCTTTAAATACTTTAATCACTTCCGTGTCCGTATTTTCATTTAAGGTTTCTAGGACACCATGTAGTATTAGGCAATTTCGTCTGGAATACTGTTCTGCTTCGTCAATATCATTTTCTAGTTCAGTAATTCTTTTTTCTAAATTAGATATTTTAAAGTTGGTTTCGTTAATGTCCAAATGTAGAGAGTCTCTAATTAAGACCGTAAGCTTACCGATAAGTTGATCTTGTACAACATTAGATACTGCTTCAGCAATTTTCCTCATGAACAGGGAGCCCGATGCAAGGCATTTGTGCAATTCTGAATCAATCAATTTAGAGATATCCGTAATAACATTTTCTTTTTGCTTTTCAGGCTGGTTGTTTTCAGCGGTGTCAGAGGTATCTCCAGAATCCGATTTTTGTTTCTTCCCCTTCCGTTGTTTGCTGTTACCAGCCATCGGGTTAATTGATAAGAGAAGCAGCAATGTGTAAAAAAGAATCAATGACAGATGAATCAGTTTTATTCAGTAGCGTAACGAATAAGTCTTGCTTGAACGGCAATGAAAAAAATGCAAACCGAGAGCGCGTAACTCAGACACATCCGTTCACCATGAGTTCTCAGTACTTATATAATAACACTGAGTGTATTATTATCAATAACGGTTGGATATCAGAAAGCTTCAAAATGCAATGTGGAAGAAATCACCAATATAGTCCAAATGCTTCAACAATTCCTCAAGATTTTTGATCAGAAAATTTTATTGACACTTGGTTTCATGGTATAACATCATATTTACAAAATTGTACAAAAAACGGCTTGCTGCTGCAGAACGCTCTTCCTAAAATAATATGGGTTTTTATACAGTTCATTTTAACAGTTGTCACGCATACAAATGACAGAGGATCAGAAAGTGTCTGTATTCGCTTGCAGGGCCAAGGCCTTTGCATAAAAAGTTTTAGCTTTTATAGATGCTCTAAAATACACTTTCCTGCCTCTGGTCAATCTGATGGGGTAGCTAAGCTTCATAATAGATATTCATAGCGAGGATTTTTGGATGAATTAATTTTAATTAACCTTGTATCCAATTTTGTTCGGTTTCAATTATGAATATTTTTTTTTGTGAAACCACCAGTTATATTTTTTTTTCTTGGCACAAAATTATGCAAATTTGCCAAAAATATACCTATCGCATAACATGCTAGATGCTAAAAGGGTCTAGAGTGTGCTAAAAAGCATAATTATGCCAGGTCTGATCACTATGGTATAAAATGTTTTGCCTATTAAGTAAACAAGTACGGGGCATGTGCCAAACATGGGCGCCAAATGTGGAAAATTCACTAGCAGAACAGGACGAATTCGCCAACTGCTCTATGCGCTCGTACGTAATAATTCTGCCAATTTGAGGTATTTTAAGTGAACTTAATTATAGAAAATCATTCGAATTAGCCCGCTTTGCTAGAATTATTCCCACTACTTAAGCTTAGACCGTGCCGCCTGTCACTTCATTTTTCTCCTCCTCTTTCTCTTCATTATCATCATCACCATTATGAATTTTCAAAATTCAGACAAAAAAAATTAATTAAGAATGTATTCATTCATTAATAGACTTTTCAGAACAAGAAAGAGAGGATAATGGGCGGCTAAACCGACACCAAAGTGAACTCTCTCTAAGCTTTCAACCTGTAAAAAATGAAGTTCAAAAATTCAAATATTTATCTATAGGGCCTAACGAAAATTGAAAAGATAAGTTGCAGACTACAATAAGACAAAAGATAATAGTTATTTTACCTTATTACAATCTGCAACTTACTTGTTACTTGATACTTGTTAATTATATAGCGCTTTTTTTTCAGTTACGAAGCTGTAATTTGTTTTTCCTGGATCCACATGCTTAAGTGTTGCTGCCATATTGATGCAGTAGCAGGCAACCCCACCAGGTACCCATTTATACTCCTGGCCGTGTGGAGAGAAGCAATGAAGATAAAGCGTCTTTCAAGACGACAACAGGTTTGGTGAGGCAACAGCGACCACATATAGTTATTATATTTGATCTTTGCTGTATCTCGCCACTGCGATAAAAATAAATCTTAAAAAGCAGAATTTCTTTTAAACAACTTAGAAAGGTATGCGATGGACGATCGTCATAGTTGCCACCACCGCGTATGTAAATAGGCAGAGATTTAAACAAATAAATTAAAAAGTTAGGAACAAGACCAACGGAAATTCTAGAAATAAAACCAAGTGCCAGAGGATCTTGAGCAGACAGCATGCAGGCCTAAGTTAATAACGTAAGATTATATTCCTCTGCGAATAAATGTCTTTTTAAAGCCCTTTTTGAACTCACTGAATTTAAACGCATATACAAACGGGTTAGCAACCAGACTCGATACAAACGATATGTGTGTCGCTTGCCTTATAGGATGTCTGTCATAATCAAAACAGTCGCACAGGCTATACACTATATACACTATTAAGAGTGGCGAGATGCTGATGGCAAACACAAGTGTAGTAACAGCCATAGTTGTGATGAAATTCGTCTGATTCTTAATATATTGAGTGGATTCTTTTTTTGAATTTTCTATCTTGAAGTCGTTCCGTATTTCAATGTCATCGGAGCGGTCGGTCAGGACGCAGTTAGAATTACTACGTACAGTTGCTCGTACCTCCAGACGTTTCTGCATCGTGACGTAAACACGGTAGTAGCAAAATGTCATAACAACAACGGGAATGATATAAAAAAAGAGCAATATCGAGCCACCGGAGATTAACCGCACGGATTCGCTGCTGTAACAAAACCTGCAATTTCCTGGACTTAATTCATCAGGAACTAAATAAATTGCCAGCTGAAAAGTAAAAACTATGGCTAATAGCCACGGAACACACAGCTTAAACACCATTTTAATCTTTCTTTTCTCTCTCCTCCAATACTTCAATGGATGCACAACTGCGATGTACCTCTCTATAGATATATAGACAAGATTGCTGCCTGAGGCCGATGCAAATATCCAGAATATAGTTCTACATTTACAATAAACAATACCATATTCACCATCAGGTACACGATAGTTGTAGAAAATGAAATAGAGGCAGCACCCCATCAAATCCATACATGCCTGTTGAAATACCAAGAGATAAGTGAAGCACGTTTTATAGGTTTTACAGTTGATAAACACAATGATCACCACTAAGTTGGCAAGGACTCCAACGATTACCAATACGTAACGTGATGCAGCGAGAGCAAGTTTTACTGCATCTGATGTTTCCTCTAAAGTAATATTTGAGCTGTCACAAGTAGACATTATCTGAAAAAATAGTGATATAATTATTATAAGTTAAGTCAGCTATTGGACTTTCAAATATAGTGTAAATATACCAAGAAAACAATAACTGCCAAAAACTCGAGATCTCTAAAAGCAACAGCTCAAGAACAGAGCAAATACATTCGAACAGCTGATTATTTTCTCTTTCATTGGTTTGTGCTAATGTAACAAAAGTTGATTGAACAACATACCTTTGCTTAGTGTCTTTGATGCACTGAATCACAAGGAAGTTCTTTTCAACAAATCGATCGGAACTCACAAAGACCGAGAACGCACCTGGTGAATAACATTAATTGCTAATATAAATTAGCATAGTAAAATAATACTTCAGTAAGTATAATACTGAGTAATGGTAATGAAAACTGAGATACGTAAAATGTTTACTTTAAGAAACACTAACATTTTTATTGCAACGAATATTTTGACTGCTCCAGCAGTACTTGTCAATGAAAAGAGTAGTCGAAATATTTTATTTTTTTGAAGTCAACGTTTTACGTATATAATGCC